CATCCTTCCGAGGTGGGTAAAATGAGGACCCAGATTGTTGGGGGCAATATGCTGACTCTGTAAACTGCTTAGAGAGGACTGTAAAAGCCCTGTAAAGTGGTATATAAGTCTAAGTGTTATTACTATTGCTATTAATCTTAGCATATAGCCCTGATAGGCATATTGGAATATTGCAAGAAAAGACTTAAACATATACTAGCATTTGGTCTCTATTTTTTAATATTACTGACAACTTTATTAGCTCGAGGCTAATGAATTAATTAGGGCATCTTTTGGAAACCTGGCAATTATTACTCTAATTAATTCCTCTTTTGTTTGAGTTAGATCACACAATTTTACCTCAACAGCACTCAAATGCTGCTCATGGACAAGTAAGGCTATAGCTACAGAAGAGAAAAACTAATGTTTCCAGAATGTTACAGCAAATCTTATATCTGATATGGATTAAGCAATAGTAGATCAATAAAACAGAAAATGCTAAAAACACTCTGGGGAAAGACAACTTACTTATAGGAGCATTCAATAGATTTGGCAGGTGGGCAGGCAAAAGGAGTGTGCCATTCAAACATATAGGTGCAATCCTCGGTTTCCTTCAGAAATACTGGCTATGGAAACAGATAAAAAAAACCTGTTGCATGTTCTAGACCACATCAGCATCAGAGCTAAAAATATTAAATCATGGATGGGCATTTGGAAATGCATCCTCAAGCACTTTTGCACAAAGGAGTAGTTCCAAAACTGAAGTCTATTGGAGTGGAAGAAATGAATCAAGGCCAGAAACGTGGGCTGGACTCTTTCCACTGTAAACATAGAAAGTCTTAGCAATCTATTCATCAAACTGACCAATCCTTTGACAGAGCCTCTGTTCTCACCTAGCTCCCCAAACAGCACAAACCTTCTGAAGTAAACTCAAAGATTCCTTTATTAGGAGCGCCAGCAGCCCTGGCAAAAAGTTTCTCTCTCAACAAAGGCTAACAGGTCCGTCCAGCCGGAAGATGAATAGTGGTCTGCCACATCTATTCATCTCCATCCCTTGCCTTTTATCCCCAGAGCTAGGGTGGGGCTTCNCTGAATAGTAAGTACTTGAGTGGCCAGTAAATTTAAACAAAGGAATGTCTTTTCCAGAATCTTCATGGCTACTGTACCAAAAGCTAGTCTGTGATGCATTTTTTGACTGCTTGTGAATCTAAAAGGCAGAAGCTATCCACCACATCAGTATCTTTATTACTAATTTTAAAGCTGGTCGTTCTACCTGTTAGCATTTATTGTTCTATCTTTATGTTTAATTTAATCACTTTTTTCTCTTTGCTTTTTAATTTTTATTTCTAAAGCTTACAAACCCTTTCCATTTTCAGTTATCATGAAATGATAATGTCATCAGCATAATACAAGCTAGTGATGTTTCTTTGTCCACTTTTAAAACCATGTTCTTCTTTTTCCATTCCAACTTTCTTTAATACATACTAGGCATATAGGTAATCCTCGGGTTCCACCAGTAATTTGGACAAGAATTTAAATCGCTAAGTGGTGCAGTTCAGTGGTGGGTTCTTACCGGTTCGGATGAACCGATAGTAGCTTGGCGGCGTGGGTTTCTGGAACCAACAGCGACCCAGGCCTGCCATGTCCCCAAACTGGTTCTCCCAGTGGCGCCATAGGCGCCACCATATTGTTTTTTGCTTTTGCGCATGCGCAGAACAATTTTCTTTGTACTGCACATGCAAGCACATGGAACTGCACTGGTGCAGTCATAAAATGCAATATCACATAACTACATCAAATAGCAACAGCAAACCTGCTATGCCATTGCCATCATTAGCCAAGCACCCACCATATCCAAGCTATTCTAGGCTTGGTCCCTCCCGGCCCTCAATTTTTCCAAGGTAAGGGAATGACTTCCTTCAACTATAGCTATTTCTCCCACCTTTGACCTTCTGGCTTCCTTGCACTCTGCCTTGTGGTGCAGCAAAGAGCCCAGAGCCACTAAATTCAGGGGCTTCTTGGGACATCATGGCTCTGGGAGCATCAGCTGCCCCAGCAACATGGCAGAAAGATGTAGTCATAGGAGAAAACTGCATCTATCCCATCCCAGTCTCAACTGCCTCAGTAAATCCCAGCTTGACCCTATAGCATGGCATCAAGCTTACAATCTGCTGGCCATTGTTTCATTGTCCAGATTTATAAAACTGATAACATTTTATTCAATTTACACAGATGAGAATTTACCAGAAGACAGATGGCAAATCAGGCATAAAAGGCTAGATTTAACTTGAGCAAAATAACTCATCACAAAGATACTGAATTATTTTGTTCAGAATCTGGTGGCACATTCAAACTTTCCCCCCAAACCTCCTATAAAACATCTGAGTAAATAGCATAGACTTCCCTCAATTCTTACCAGCTCCCAGCTGAGGTACTAATGATCTACAAACATTGATATAGTATTTTTGTGAAGAGCTAGTCTTTGAAATAGCCTCCCAGTTTTTCTTTTGTTGGATCAGAGGAGAGAGATCATAGGAATTGCCAGCACTATCTCTACAAACAAGAAAAAAAATTAATGATAAATGAACGGAGTAAATATATTCAAGATGTAGACAACTTCTATTACAAAAATCCAAGTCAAACATTCAAAACAATCCCATTTACATAAATTTTGAATGTATGCCCAATTTTTTTGAATTCTTCTCTAACTACATAAATAATTCTAATGCACTACTGACATCCAATGTTCTCTATTATTCAAACTGAACACTGGAGCACTAGGGCTAAAATTGACTGTGATCCCAAGCCCAAGTTTTGTCCCCCGTTTCTTGGCAAGCACAGCTGCCTGCAGAAGAAAATTGGGAAATTTGGAAAATTGAGCTGTGGTGGCGCAGCGGCTAGAATGTACTACTGCAGGCTNCTCTCCCTTTCCCATTGTTGTCTATGTAACAAAAAATAAAAATAATTTATAAAAAAAAAAAAATTTTTTTTCTCTTCTCCTTTCAATTTTTTATACTGTGTGAAATGCTGAAATTGCTTTTCCAAATAATTGTTTGGAGAATGTGAAGTCACCAAAGAACTGGGCTCTTAAGTAATACTCTATTAAACCAGCTTATTAGGTATAATAATTAGGCATTCATTCTAATATCTTGTTGTGAAAAAGACAACAATTTGATACATGCTGATAATATTACTTACTACAGGAGAGCCATTAAGGGGGATCATACAGACAGCTACTCCAGGTGGACAACTGACATCCTTGATGGAATTTAATGGTTGGCAAATATTTATATAGAAATCTGGATTCTGGTCAGAAAAGTCATCAAATATCTCATAAGCACTTGTCCAATGGATTAAAGGGGAAAGGTCAATTACTCTGCTGCCATTGGTAACTGAGCAGTCTACCTGTGGGCAGGGGAGAGAAGATTCATAAATCAGTAGAAACAATCATTATCAACTGTGTAATAAATATATATTGGAAAAAAGAACATAAACATTTCATTTATATAGATTGGAGGGAAAGAATTTATTACAATAGGAAGTTAAAAAAAGAAAGAGTTGTCTTGTTTTATTACTCTTATTATCAGGGAACTGTAAAGGAGAAAACATCACTAATACTGAACAGGGCAGGCTACTATATATAAACAGAGAGCAAACCCTGTTGTTTGCCAACACTGAAGATGTTGCCTAGCCAAGTAAGGAAATATCTGCACAAAAATTACAGAGAGCCAACTTATAAACATAACTGCTAAGATTAGAAATCATTTCTTTGCAATCTTTCCTTAAACTTTTTAAAATTTCTTATACTTTTAGCTTTCCCCTTGACTTTTTCTTTTATTATTGTATTAGCTTTTGTCTTTTTTTTTACAAACTTTTAATAAAATTATTAAGAGAGAAAAAAAATCCAGAATGTTTTGATTGTTAACATTTACAGATAAATCTGCATTGCGTGAATAAGGGGAAAATGGATGTATGTCACCACTTACTTTCAGCGTGGCATAACAATTATAATCCACTGCATAATGTTTTATAGCACTCTCAGAGCAGTTTACAATGCCAGCATATCATTTTAACAATCTTGGAAGGGTGGAGGGCTGAGTCAACCTTGAGCCGGTCAAAACTAAATTTCTGGCTGTGGACAGGGTTAGCCTGCAATACTGCATTCTAACCACAGGGCAACCATGGCATAAACCCCTAATTTCCTACCATTCTCTTATTTATGTTCCAGCATGGCATATAAACCAGTTCATCTACCCCTCATCTCCTTCCTCCCTCTCCCTTCATCTGTTGCTGTTATCCCAGCATATCTCATACCTCTAGACTCCCCATTCTTCCCAATACCTTTCCTTCCTCCCTTCAGCCACCATTGTCCTTTATTTTTTTCCCACCTTACTTCCATCTGCCAAGGATAAAGTAGCCTGATTGTGGAACCAAACAATACCCATATGTGAGTATTTTGGTTTGGACATGAAGTACACCAAACCAACTGTGTTATGCCTGGAATGTTCTGCAGATAATAATTACAACAGAGAGACTAAATGCAGACGTGATGCTATTCAGGGACTTAGCTGTGAGATTCTGGGCTCTCTTCTTCAGCCTGACATCTCGTAAATGGATTTGTTCTATCTCCTCCTCCTCCAATTCCTCTGGCTAAGATGAATTTTAATTGTCTTTCAAAATTACAATGGCTTGCTTCAGTTCTGTTAATCATTAGTTGTATTATGTCTGCATTGTGAGTTGAATGCCTTTTTGACAGAGTGATTTCAAGCGATCTAATTAATATACACTATATTGCCTCTATTATGCTTAATAAGAATAGCTTATTCTACTTCAACAATTGCCCTGCAAAATAGCACAAATGAGTGTAAATGTATTATGTTGCAACTCCCCCCCCCCAAAAAAAAAATCTAGGGGATTTAAACTTTTTTAAAATCTTAAATAACACCAGGTCATTTTTGATAAAATTAAGTTGATAAAACAGTCAATTTGCTTACCACTCTTTCTTCTTCACAGGCTAAAACAGTATGCCAAGAGAAAAAATAAGTGCATGTTTTCTCATCAAAAGAAATGAGAGCTGGCTGACTGCCAAGCCCAGCATCCAACCTGCACACAAAGGTGAAATAGCTCATGTACTTCAAAGCAGGATCTGCAGGACAGGACTCGCCTTCTTTGTAGACAAGTTTCAAAACTCCATCTTCATAGGTTAATGCTTTGCTTAGTTGTCCAGCATTAATTAATGGCTGATGGCCACCCGTGATGCAAACTCCTATTGACAGAATTAATAGAGCAGTGCTAATGGATTTTTTCTTTTTCCTTGTTTTTTGACAGAAGAAATTTTAAATTTGACACAATTAGTACGTTTTCCCAAAAATAAGATAGGGTCTTATTTTTTTTGACCCACGAAATATGGCCTTGGGCTTATTATAGGGGGAGGGCTTATTATTTTCTGGGTCAGGCAAGAAGCGAGGCATGCCTTTTACCTTTCCAGCTCCATCACGTTCCTCGTCACTGTGTCCAGGGAAGCCGCTGGTAAAAAAAAAAACCCTTCTTGCAAGTTCTATCAAACTTCTTGAAGTTGTGAGAAGGGTTTCTTTTTTCTTTTTTTTTTACCAGGGGCTTCGCTGGACACAATAGCGAGGATGTAGCGGACCTGGAAAGGTAAGAGGCGCGCCTCGCAGACCAACACTGCCCACCCCACCCCAATGGTAAAGGCAGCCTCCCTGGTTCCCTTCCCCACCACCCCTTTAGCGAGGCGTGGTAGGTGAAGGGGGAGAAAAGCGAGGCGTGCCTCTTACCTGTTCAGCCCCGCTGCATTCCTCGCCCTTTCGTCCAGTGAAGCCCCTTGTAAAAAAAAACTCGCAAGTTGAACTTTTACGACGAAAGGGCAAGGAACGCAGTGGAGCTGTCAATCTCTGGTAATACTAGGACAAGTGTCTCGCTTCTCCCCCCACTGATACCTAACTAAAGGGGTGTTGGGGAAGGGAAGCAGCCAGGCAGCCGTTATCATTGGAGCTTGGTGGGAGGTGTTCTTTTTGCGTGGCAGGGAATGGGGTGTGAGGTGCATTGCTGGCCTGCCACCTCCCACCCCACCCCCAATGTAACAGCTGCCTGGCTTCTTCTCTTCCTCGGTGTCCCTTTAGGGGGGGGGAGAAGTGAGACGCATGTCCTAGCGTGGAATGGGACTGTTCTCCTCCTGCCCTTCGCCCGCCTATTTCGCCCCCAAGGTTTCTCCCCTAGTCATCCACCTCTATCACTTCGCCTCCGCTGTTAGGGACGTGGCTGTTCGTCCTGGGTAATGGGACTCCTTATCTTCCATCCTCCGCCCTTCCTCACGGGCCTTTGGGAGAGATACTCTTCACCCCAGCCTTTAGGGCTCAAGAGACAGTTAGCTGCCAGCCAATCAGAGGAAGGGAAGAGAGAAAGAGAGAGGCACGGAGGGAGAAAATGTTTTGTGTCGAGTTTCCAGTTGCCTTGGGTCCGAGCTAGAAAATCTAATAAATCCTTTCCCCTCGCTAAAGGGGTGGTGGGGAAGGGAACCAGGCAGGCTGCCTTTACCACTGGGGTGGGGTGGGCAGTGTTTTTTTGCGCAAGAGGGAACAGGCGGGATGGGGTGATCGCATTGCTGGTCTGCCACTCTTTTTGCAGTAGGCTCTTTGCAAGGGAGGGAACAGTTCGCGAAGCACTTTGCTTGGCCTGCCACTCTTTTTGCGGCGGGCCCTTTTTTTGCCCCACAGGCTATACTGGTAGGTGGTACAGTGTTGTAATGGCAGGGACCAGTTGCACATGTGCTTAAATAGTTGGGGGCGGGCTTATTTTCGGGGGGGCGGGCTTATTATGGCGCATGCTCTGAAAAGCTCGATTGGGTGTATTAGCAGGGCATGTCTTATTTTCGGGGAAACATGGTAGGGGAAATGCTACTTTATTAATACATCAAGAAAAATATGTGTGTTTACTATTTTGGTTAAAAGGATTATTATCTATTGTTCAGTGCTGGGATCAAGTTGCTCAGTGATTCACTGAATACCCTAATCTAGTTTTGTTCTTTCAAACTTATTTCTTCAATATAAAGTGGGCAATTAAGGCTTACAATGCCCAACAGGTTCCTTAACATCAGATAGATGGGATAGTGTCTTCATCATATTCACTCCATAGCATGATATGCAGTGAACATGCACCTTTTTCCTCCACATATCTTGTATCTCATCCTGTTAATAATATAGCAAGTGGCTGTTTAAATATGGCATAATGGACTTCAGTGCATGCTTGTAAAATATAGCATGCATATGCACTCCAATAAGCATTTTACTGCTATCCCACGTAAATTTTGGAAACTAAGAAATCTGAGCCGTGTAGCAGGTTTTACAGGGTTTTTTAAAGATTTTTTTTTAAAAAAATGTTTTTTAAGTTACAGGTAGATTGATTTACCATAATTTATAAACAGATACCAAGCCTTCTTTAATCTAAGTCAGCATTCAATTAGTTCAAGGCTGCATATATGCAGTTGAGGCTTGTGCATGCACAGCCGCAGTTGGGGTTTTAGAAGCTAATGGTCTTTTGTGCAAAATGGAGAAAAGGAAAGTTCAGGTTGAAGAACTGCAGCAGAATACAGAAGATATCATCTATACCTTGGATGTGGGTTTATCCTTTTTTACTGCTATACAGTATTCCATTAATAAACATATAAACATTACGTTAAGTTTTAAAACTGCCTATTCCCATTGAGCTGGAACCAATTACCCTACTTCCCATAGAAAAATCTCTTTGAATAGTGTACATTCAAATAATGTGACCATTCTGTGGGATTCATTAATGCACTAATCAAGCCCTACTTGCACAGATGGTATGAATAGCTGATAAACTGGATATAGTGGGAAGGAAGGAAAAGCTTATCCCAGGAGAAGAGCACAGATCGTTATCCAGATACTGTCCAACATTGTTACTGAAATGTACTTTGTTACATTACTACTGCTAGGTCACATATCAATAACATAGGTTTAGGAAAAGAAAGTATCACAATAATCTATTTCCATCCTATGAATCTGGGTTCAATATCAGCATCTCAGCAAGTCAAAACTTACCAATGTCTCCACCGCATGAAGTTTTGGGTTCATCACATACACTCAACTGGAGCATTCTCTGGTTCACAAAATCATAGAGAGTGTAGCTAGACTGTCTCTTTAAAGGATTAAGGTCAAAGAGATGACCTGAAAGAAAACAGAGGAGGGAGAAAGAAAGAAATATTACTATGAAAAACACGCTTTTATTTTTAAAAAAATCAAGATGCTGAATAAGCTGTCTCCAGTAGGAGGACATCAAAAATTCAAAACTAGT